CTCACGTGACTTCCTGCGAACCCACTTTTAGTGACGTATGTCGATGCCTCCACTTCTGACCGCCCCGACACCTTGCGGTACACTGTTACGTCACAGTGTTACTGGCGGGAACTTTGAATTAACGTCCTATTTCTATTTTTTTATAAAAAAAACTACGCACCGTCTATAGTGAAACAATTTTTTTGTAATGTCTTGACTTGGTGGCCTCAATGTCCTTCTGTTAAGGGTGAGTGCCACCCTTTGTAGTACCCGATGCCGACAGCACGCGCTCACGGGTAAAATACAAAGAAATTGTCGAAAACAAAATGTCGCCATAGCAACAGTCAGCGCCAAAAGCGCGTGCAGGGACACGCTCTTTCACGTGCTTCTGAACAAAAAAGAAAAATAAATGTGTGGGACAAAATGGCGAGATGTCTCCACCCTAAGCAAAGCGCACATGAAGGCACCCTAGTCTTGACATGCCATTTAAACGCCTGGCATGAGAAAAAAAAAATTTTTTTTTGGCGTGTCAGAGGCTTTTTAACCGCAGTTAAAAGTCACCTTTAACTGCAGTTACGCTTAAACCGCAGTTACCACACTACGCCCTCAGACAGCTATTTCAGGAGAAGTGAGAGGCGCGTGCCCAGCTTTGATGGTCAAAAGCTCAAGCCTACGTGCGCTTATAGCTTTGACTGCATAGCTACATAACGTTGAGTATACAGTGTGCACGGAAACTGTGGTTAAGCGTAACTGTAGTGAAGTTTTCGCACGTAACTACAAGGTAGTTACTATATACATAAACATAATAAGATTCTTGGTAGCGCTGTACAGCGCCCCCCCCCCCCCCACACACACACACACACGCGCACACATAAATTCCAGTAGCTTTTCTTTTAATCGTTAAAAATAAATTACGCGTCACGGAAGGCTCATTCTTTGCCAAAATGTAGCGCTAGCGGTACCAACCTGATGCCAAGGTTTCAGCACTAACCCTTATTATCTCATTTGAAAGTTGAAAGTTACTTTCGAAAAAAAAAAATTCAATGGGGAAATGACGTCATTTTCGCCCGTTTCCGGGTAACTGGCGTCCGTAGAGCTCCATGTATTCGAAAGCTCCGTCGGCCGCCATTTTTCCATGGAAAATTAAAAAAAAAAAAACAAAAAAAAACACATAACTTACAATCACAAAATAATCATAATCATAAAATCACACAGAGCCACACAACGTTTTAATAAAAGAGCGGGGGTAATGCTGAAACTTTGGCACCTGTTCGAACCTTCAGCGCTACATTTTTTTTTTTTTTTTTTTTGTGTGTGTGTGTGTGGGGGGGGGGGGGGGGGGGGGGGGGAGGGCTTTTATTGAACTTGCGTTTACATCTATCACATTTAAAACTATAATTTACGTAATCCTCACATTAAGGCAGGGTACTTTGTAGACTCCAACCAATTTCTTCAATGTGCCCGACGTTTCGAAGCCGGCTCGGCTTCTTGATCACGGGTGACTGTATGCGGGCCCAAAGGTAGCAAACTGTCGTTCTTTTCTTCTTCTCTCTCAGCATTGTTTTCTTCTTCTGTTTTTGTGTGTGGCGCACGTAGCCCGTGGATAATAGCTGCCTGGAAGCGTTCCGGTGGATCGGTTCAGATGGTTGTTCGTATTTTGCATGTGCCAAGATTCTAATAAG